GCGGCATAACTGCTTTGGGTTGTCCTTTGGACATCAGCGCAGCACCATAAGTGCTTTGGGTTGTCCTTTGGATGTCAGGGCAAGACCCTCATTAGTCCGCCATAGCCAATGCATGAGAGAGGAGGCTGAAGGAGGGAAGCCATAGCTATGGTGGACTTGTTGTTGTTGTTGTTGTTGTTGTTGTTGTTGAGTTGAGTCAACAGTATGAGGGAACTTCGGATATTGATTCTGGTTCATCCATTCATTGTTATTATTATTATTGAGAGAATAATAAGATTGGTGAAGTGAAGGAGGAAGAGGAAGGTGGAGAGAGAAGGGGGAATTGTCATTGGTCTTGCTGGTGTATATCTTTTTTTTTTTTTTTTTTTTTTTTTTTTTTTTTCTTTTTTTTCTTCTTTTTCTTCTTTCCCTCTCATCTGGTCTTTATCTGTTTGCAAGTGCTTTCATTTCTTTCGCAATTGGGTGGCATTGTCTTTCATTGTGAATTTGAACTTGGCAAATGACCAGGATCGTAACATTAGGTTAATTTTCGCATTTTCTGGGATTTTTTGTTATAGTTGGTTTTGTATAAATCTTGGTAAGGTACTTTCTCTACGGAAAGCGCTTTCGAAATTTCTGCATATCCAAGGAGTTAGTCATATTTTGACCTTTCAAAATTCAGTTTGTCTAAATTTTATGTATGACTTAGTAAAAATATGGAAAGTCTAATTTTCTAAAGGGAGTGCTGCACAATTTTTTGTTAATTCAAGGAGTTCGACAAAACTGGACTTTGAGAGATTATAAATTTAGCTTTGTATAAGTCTTGGGATAATACTTGTCTAAAGGGAGTGCTCCCAAAAGTTTTACAAACCTAAGAAGTAAGTTAAATTTTGTCTTAAGTTGAACTCAAGTTTTGACTCTGAGTTTGTATCTGACTTAGTATAAACATGAGAAGTCTCATTTTCTAAAGGGAGTGCTGCCTAAATTTTTCCTAATTCAAGGAGTTAGGCAAAATTTGACTTTTTAAGGTTATATATTATTTCTGTTTTCATATTTGAGCTAGTACAAATTCTAAAAATACACTTTTCGTACGGGGAACGCTGCCGAAATTTTCTTAGTTTAGAGGAGATAGATTTTATTTTTATAGGTGGCGATACTGACAATTCACCCTGTATAGAGGAGATTATGCCAAAGATTCGTCTCTTCTTTGGACGCAGGCTTAGGGGTAGACTTAGATTTACTTAGCAGATTGTATGGAGTAAGGATGTGCTATGGAGATTTATTCCCCACACACCGATGATTTAACTTGGAACCTTGGCCATTGACCTGTCTTATGATATGAGTCTTCTTCCGACATATGATTCAAGATTCGGACTAGTTTCATTTTGATCCTACAAGGATCATCTTTTGTTATCACTGATAACAAGTCGGTTGTCAATTCGTCGGTTTACGACACAACTCCAGTCTACTCTCAACTACCCAACGTAAAGGTTTTAGCCCTAGTGGTTCTATTGTTTTATTAAGGTTTTCATCTGGACTTTTATTGAATGGCCATTTAACAAAGGTACTGAGTATTTATTTTGGAAGGTTGGATAAAGGTTGGGATTTGCATAGCTAAAGCAAGGGGTTTTAGTATAGAGAATGGTTGAAGTTGACCTTGTGTAGTGTGTGGAGTTTTGGTCGATTCTTTGATGTGATTGCAGGTATGATTTGTGGTTCGGACTTTGGAATTGACGGTCTTCGATCACATATATATAAATGGCTGAGAGAAGTCTCACTGTGATTGTGAGAAGTGATCGTCACATATTTCATTCCCCTCTATAAATATATATACGTACATATATGTGTTTGAGTGTCTGCGCGGTCTATGGTGTCCGCATTTAAGGTTTAAATAAGGTTGTGATTGAGAGAGAAGGCTCCCTTCTTTTCACCGGTTTGCTTCGTAAAATTTCTTAGTCGATCGTTGGTCTTGGACCTGGATTCGAGGTCCTTGTCCAGGACAACCCAGGTCCTAGAGTCCGCGTGGAAGGGATCACCCCCCCGATAGAGTCTATTTGCCCTGCCCACAGAGACACTCAGCCTAAGGGCCGATGGTGCTATGGGGGCCGAACGGCTGTTCCTTCAGCCGTGCAGTATTGTGAAGGGGTCGACCCTCACGATACTTCGAGATCAACACTTGAGTGTCATAAGCGGTACTCAGATCCACAGGGGACCGTTTGATTATGGGCACTACATAGTACGCCATCAGTGTGATTGCTTGTGTAATTATGCATTGCTAGTCGATATGGAAAGACTCCTCGTCCGCGCGGTTTTATATTAATCTCGCGAGTGTCGCATATCCAATTTCCGTGTCGGAAGGTTATGGGATGGCTACAAAAAGGGACTAGGAGTGTTGTTGTGTTGTTTGTTTTGTGTCGTTCCGTGTGTGTGAGTGTTGTGGTGTAACGCGTGGTATGCGAGATGCATTTTAGTCGATCGACAACGAGTCGAGCTTGGGACTTCAACCCCCTTAGTGCGTCGGTTCGCGTGCGGGTCCGATAAAGGCGTGGGACCGCGCGTACCCCCTATGCTACAGCGTACAAGGAACGCCTTTGGCTGGTCCACCTCTGCAATTGCAACTGATTAGCTTTCGTAATGTTGACTGGTAGCTCGGGGGGGATACGCCCACTGAAGGGAGGTGACAACTTCCGCAGCTGGAGGTAAAGTTGTACCTCGCATTGGCCCTATCCTGTCGTAGGGGCCTCCCTGTGCGGTGCGGGACTGATGCGCTCGACAGGTAGCGCCGTTGTCGGGGATAACGGTTGCCCACCGTTGTCCCTGGTGGAACGACATCTGGGTATGGGATTGAGAAGAAATTAGGCATATAAGGGAAGTTTAATAGACTTATGAAGCAGAGTACGTGATGCCTTGTTTAACCATCTATGTCCAGCGGATGTTATTGGTATAATAGTCTTTACTTTTTTATTCAATTGACTGCCTAACGTGAAGATCGTGAGGGAAGTCTTATAAAGGAAGTAGGCTCTATTAAGGAAGGTTCAAAAAAAAGAAAGAGGTAGTATCTGTTAGGCTTGGAGCGCGAGATGACTATGTAGGAAACTTGACAGGAGTTGTGGTAAGCCAGGTTGCTGAATGAAGTTTCTATCTTTTCTTATAACAGGGAAGTTGAGCGAGAAATTCAGCCAAAATGCCGGGAAGCATAGCTGACGGTGTCGGGAAGGTCATGATAACTGATGATCTAATCGACGCTATGGACAGGTGAGAGAGGGCGCAAAGCAACGTCCCTAAAGTCGACACCTTCCATTTCTATGGGGAGCGAGTCTCGGAATGGTTAGAGCTAGTTGAACAAGCACTGGTGGGGCTGTCCAGATGCAGTGAGTTTTAACGCATTTCGAAGTACGTGCTCCATGGGCACCACCAAGAAGTAGAGAAGGTTATACATGCAGCCAATTGCAGCTGGTGAGGTTTAAGGATGACATGTAAAGACAGTACAAGCTAGGTGATGGTCTGTTGACCACGATAGACTTGGAGGCGATGAACAGAGACGGCTTCACTATTGTCGGGGCCCTTGTGCAAGAATTTAAGAAGAAGGCAAGGAAGGTCCCCAGAATCTCAGAAGAAGCACAGCGTGCTATCTTCTTAGGATTGTTCAACGCCTCGGAAGCCTCGGAGCTAACGAGTCATGGAGGGGGTAGTGTGAAGCTTACCTGGGCCACAATTGACAAGGGTGTGGAAGAAGGGAGTCTGGACCATGTGGAGCAGTACCAGATGCCCCAACAAAGGCGGAAAAGGAAGGAGCGCGATGCGACCGCCTCAGGGACTCCGGGAGTAAAGAGTATCGTTAAGGACGTACTCACAGAACTGGGTTATGGGAAAGATGCCGTGGTATAGAAAAAGGTGGTGACCACGATCCAAGGGAAGGGGAAAGAGCCAGTAGTAGAAGAGGTCGTCCAAGACGAGTGGGAAGAGGAGGAGCCTATGCCCCAACATCTTCTGAAGGCTCAAGGCAAGCAGCGCAATTTAACGCAGGGTGGGCAAGGCTCCGAAAAGGGGTAGGTGCCCCAAGCATTGGTAGTGGCCTCGCCGAGTACAGTGGCCCTGTCAAGCGGCGGGGGAGCCTCGCAAGCAGGGGCACCTCCATATAGACAGTGGTCATGGTCCATATTTAACACGTTTGTGCCATGGGGTGATCCGACTTCGTTTGGTCAGATGATACCTTACTCGGGACCTCAAGCGAGTATGCCACCGCCGAGCTACCCTGCAGTACAGGCCCAACCTATGGTGCCACCTCCATCGCCTGCACCAAGTTCACAAGCCAGCGTGGCCGGAGGAGGGAATCAAGGCCAAGGCATTCAGGGGAACGGAGGAAGAGGCGGCGGGAGAGGGCGAGGTAGGAATGGTAGAGGCCGAGGAGGGCAGTGGAACAATCAAGATTATCGAGATCAAGGGTGTCAAGGGTATGGGAGACCTCGCTTTGACTCGCAGACCTCTATTTGCAAGCATTGCGATAAGCAAGGCCATACAATACGCTTCTGCAATAGAAGATAAGACGATGAAAAATCCGAACTGATCTATTCCGACATGGACGGCGATATATATGATCAGTACGAAGAGTACATTGACCCGAAGATTTCAGGTGGAGTAAGGGCAGAGGCTCTTAGACGGGTAGCCGTGTGGCAAGCGCCACCAGCCACATTCAGGCTGTGGCAAGAAAGGGAGGACCCACCAATAAGGGTGGAGAAGATGGAATGTGGTGAGGAGGTGACTCAGAGACTACAGGCGGGAACTATAGAAGAAGAACCTATAGTTGTCGAGTCGGATGGAGAAGGCGAGGACGAAAAAGCGGAGCCAGTGTCGACCCTTCGGGAGAAAATGGAGAACTTCTGGGGGAAAATGGGGAGGTAGCAACGACAACTGGTAGATATATGTGAAGAGGTGGAAGAGTGGAGAGCCGACATCCCCAACATCTTCCTCTATGAATTTGACCCGGAATCGGTACCGGTGCGGCAATGGTACCCCGGAGTGTCCACTGTAGGGTCAGGCCCGTGGTCTGGTATGACCTTTAGGCCCCCTACAACACAAGGGAGAATGGCGCAAGTGGCACAAACCAGGGGCCAGAGTAAGGCAAGCGCAAGTCAGGAACCCCCTCGGAGAGAGCCAGAGCCGGAACGAAGGAAAGAGACCGTGGAGGTAGAGGAGGACGATGATGAAGATGAGCAGGATGATAGAATGCGCCAAGAAGAGGATCGAAGGGCGGAGCAGAGGGCCAATAAGAGGGGGGCCTACGAGGAGGCTGAGCCAGTTCTGCACGACGCGGCGCCAAAGAAGAAGAAGTATGAGGCCCGCCTGGAGGAGGGTTTTGATGTGGAAAAGGTGATTGATAGGTTGTTTGAGGGTCATAATGACCTCATGACCTTGCGATGGATACAGGACTTGCAGCGGTTGGACGTTGTGACTGTGCGAGATGCGGGGGGCTTGCCGAATGCAGACGCACTGTCGGAGTCGTGCATAGGAAGGCCTATAATTTCGCTTATAGACCTCTACTCTGCGTACGGCCAATTTCTGTTCTATCCACCAGACCGGTGACAATGATGCATACGCTAGGGGGGTAATTCATATGAATGTGGCGCGCAGGGATGAACTCATGATGTGGCTATCGTTTAAAGACATATGATCCGGATCATGCAAACAGTCAATCCACATATCACCCAGCCGTATACCGATGACTTGGCAGTGAAGCGACCAAGAGAGAAGAAAGATGATGAAGTCTTGCCAGGAGTAAGGCATTTTGTTTGGGAGCATATTCAGGATCTTGATAAAGTCATGAGCTTGCTTGAAGAACATAACCTTATGACAAATAGAGCCAGATCGAGACACTCCATGAGGGAGGCTACCATCTTGGAGTTCGTCTGTAGCGAGAGAGACCGTCGGCCTGATGTGAAAAAAAACGGACAAAATTATCGTACCATTCCATTCGATAACAGATGTTAGGAGCTTTCTCAGCACGTGTGGGTTTTGGAGAAGCTTCGTCAGAGACTTTGCTGCCAAGACTGAGCACTTAAGGAAGTTGGTACGTCAGAATAAAAAATGGGTCTGGGGTGAGGACCGGGAGAAGACTGAAGGAGGAATTTCAGGAAGGAGGTTTGATATTAGAAGCACCAGACTATAAAGTTACTGAGGTAAGGCCATTCATCATTGAGAAGGACGTTGGACCGACTGCCTTAGGAGTCCTGATTCAGGCAGATGTCGAAGGAAATGAGAGGCCGCTAAAGTTTGAGAGTCGAACTCTTAGTACGACTGAGAGCAATTACTCTCAGTTTAAGAGGGAGACTCTCGCTGTTTTTTTTCGAAATTATATCTTTGGTAGAAGATTCATATTGAGAGTAGAGCCAACTGCGCTCACTTACTCGCTGAGGAACTACGTTCCATCGGATGCAACAGTGTCCAGATGGTTAACATACATCTAGATGTTTAACGTCGAATTGGAAAGGATTCCAGGGAGTAAGAACAAAACACATAGGCTAAGTCGCATCAACTAGGATAAACGAAAGGAAAAGGCGGTAGAGGATACGCCCTCGGTTGATGGCTTCTTGGATCAGGAGGAGGACGTCCGCATTCAGATCAACAAGTGGTCCTTGCGAGTGCCAAGTTGTGTCGGTCATCCCATTTGGCATGTGTCGAGGGTATATGAACAGAAGGCAGAGCTAGTGCTTAAGCCTTTTGAGAAAGAAGACCCGTGGGGCGGCAAGGATGTCCAATGGATGATGAAGTTGGCGTTGACAGGAACGCATAGTTTGGTAGAGGAGGTAAGCGGTAGAAGAAGGGCCAGACCAGGTAGAGAAACACGAGGAGTTGATGAGGAGAATGTATCTCCTCACCAATACGCTTCTGCAGGGAAACTTCGACCAAATGGGTTCGCTGAATCCAGCTGAACGTGAAGGTATTGTACCTGAGAGCCAGGACGACGAGTTTGAGGAAGGAGAGATCAAAAAAGAGTTTCGAGCAGAGGAGTATGACGGGATCTACTTGGAGCTGAGACTTCTCCTATCGTGTGAGATGAGGGATAGAGATGCGAGTGAGAGGGCACAAAAGATGAGACATCTCTATACGGTAAGAGATGGTCATCTCTTTGTAAAAAGACAAGTGGAGAATCCCAGAAGGGTCGTGTGTGGAAGGAATCGTTCGATCGATGTCATAGCGGGGCTTCATGATGACATTGCAGGGGGGCATCGAGGAGTCAATACCATGTATGCCAAGATAAGCGAGCTATACTACTGGGATGAAATGATAGAGATGATCATCAAGTTTTGCCGATCCCGTGTACCCTGTCAAGAAAGGTCACCTCAGAGGCCTGGAGAACCACTGCATCCAAGGCTAGAGAGGGAAGTGGGTACCGAAGAACATCTCGACCTGCTATTTATGCCAATTGGGGATCATGGCTATAACTACATCTTCGATGCGCAAGATAACCTTACTGGCTTTGTAGATGGTCGCGCCATTCGTACAAAAACCGGCTCGGTTTTAGTGAGTTGCATCGAGGAGTACTACCTACGTTATCCCTTCGTCAGGGAGTTCATGATGGACAGGGGATCAGAGTTTACATGTCAGGAGGTGCAGGAGTTGTTGTCAAGGTATGGCATGGTAGCCAATTTTACCACCGTTGCACATCCTTAAGCACATGCTCCAGTTGAGAGAGGGCATAGCACCATCACGAACCTTCTGGCTAAGTGGACTGAAGGTACGCCTAATCAGTGGCTAAGATATCCGATGGCAAAATTTTTCGTCGAAAATATTATAGTGAAGAGGACCACTAAGTACGTGTCAGCCACGCTATGGTACGGGAGGCACACTACTTTCCCAATTGAGAGCTTCCTGAAAAGCTGGAGGCGTCAAGACCTAGAAATCAGCCTGTCCTTCGAGGCGTTGCTCGATATTCGGGCGCGACAGGTGGGTGGGATTGAGGAAAGGATTCAGGAGGCATCCAATCAATTGGAAAGGAGCCACATGGATGATAAGGCTCATTGGGACCAGATGGGACGTGTACGAAAGACTTCATTGGAAGTTGGGGATATCGTATTATTGTACGATTCATTCATGTAAAAGTCGTGGTCTAGGAAGCTCGATAATGTATGCGATGTCGAGATTTCGGCAAAAGAAGTCGTGGAAGTCGTGGAAGGATTGGGTGTCAGGATCGAGGTTGAAGAAGTTTGTGGCAAGAGAAGAGGTGAGATAGACGATCTAACCCCTTATGGTAGGACCCTATGTATGTAGAAAAAGTCTGTAGTTAGATCCTAGAAAGGAGTAAAATGGTATAATGTATGGACAGGATGTGTGCTTACTTTTTTATTTAAGTAAACCCTACTTGTCTATTTGCGCACTCCTTTGGTGTGCCTGTCGTCTCCTTCGCCTGTTGTGCAAGTCTGACTTTATGAAGACAACCATGACGAGAGGAGGGAGGGAGACACGGCCACCACGGAGGCCGTTGGAAGCATCAGGGGGATACGAGTGGCATGGGTTTTACCGGCGGGAGCACACGCCCATATAGGACGACGTGGGATAAGAGTCAAGTCAATTGAGTCTTTTTGAGTCCTGATTAGGTGCTTATCAGGAGAAAAGTCTATCGTGGTGCAACCTGCGAGGGCACTACCACTAAAATAACAACGCGGTGGGCCGTAGATCTGGATCGATCAACCAAACTATGGTGGGCCAAGATGGATATCTGACCTTCCTGTACTAGACTGCAAGAAGAGTGTAAGACAATATTTATGTATATATATATATTTGATTGTGAAAATTATTGGAGAGAGGCAAGAATGTTTTCGAAGGTCTCGGTTAGGGCCCACGTCCCTAGTTATGACCCTACTTATAGGGTAGAGATTTGGGACATTTAACGAAAAGCTGGTGTTTGGAGAGGACGATCGAGAAGGCCGTTGGGACTTATGCTGTGGTATAGTGGTAAGTATCCCGGCGTCCTAGTGTTAGGACAATAAAGATTCAGGTTAGAATCCTACCAGCATATAGTTGTATTTGGCATGGATTGATGGAGGTCTCGAATCGGAGTCTGTCGGCTAATCGGATTGGTTACTTTCTTGTCAGCATTTAAAGTCATGGATGAGTTAATAACTTTTTGATTCTGCGAAGCGACGGGGGCATCGCTTAATATGGTCCGGTAAGCTATCGGTGCGAATACCCTTACAAGGGTATCTGCCTTGTTTTTTGCAAGCGACAGAAAGTAAGTTTGGTTTAAGGTTTAGGTATACCGCGCGAGGCGCGGCAGTGTCTGTGGTTTACGATGATTGAATGACAGACTAGAGTAGAGAGTGTGTGGACACTCAGACTTTAGGCGTGAGTGATCTCTTTTCTTATTGATGATTGTAAAGTTGGCGTTGGTTGCCGGCCAAGATTTGTATTTTCTGATTAAAATTAGGATTAAAAAGGTTTTGTCTCGTGACTGGTGTGCTTGCTTGTGACCTGTGTGTACGTAAGGAGGACGACATCAACAACAATGCAATTTTGAAACGTTTCGATAGATCTGCGCATTGCGTAGTATCCGCTTATATAGGTGTCCGCTAGTACTAGGCTCAGCCTTGGACCTAGCACTAGTGGTTACAACGTCGGACCTTCATCAAAGAGATTCAGGGATCGAGATCGAGTGACGACGACGTGAGATATCACAGTAGCGAGAAGGGACCTAGGGATTGACGGTCGGGCAGGGCTATCCTCCTTTGGTTTTGTCGTCGGCAGCGTCAGGACGGTACTAGTGTTTTTCTTTTTCCTCATTCGTCATATTATGACGATTAAAAAGTTCTAAATATTTTTTGTACTATTTTTATTTTTTTTCCGGCGCTCCTTGACTCGGATGCGACGGCGGATCTTAAAGGTCGTCACGGCAGTCGAGCACCCTGAGCTTGCGCCTCCTTTTGGCGAGCCCATTCGGGTCCCAGCGTGTGGGGTGTTGGCAAGAACTTCTCTATCCAGGTCGTCTTGAAATACGGGCCGAAGGAGTTAAACGTATATGCGAGCCGGTGAGTGATTTGCCCAAAGGCGGAAGAAACCTCGATGGCGCGGGCCCTTTGTGGGTGTACCGCCTACCAGCCGCAAGCCTGTCGTGAGAACTTTGAGTATGAGCATGCCCGCAAGGGCCGGCCCAAGGCACTGTGAAGGGGTGCACAACGGTGTTCTGCGGGAGCTGCGCCATGGAACCCTTTTCCATTTTGGTCTTCCAAGATCTCGTATGAATACTAGCTACTACCATTAAGATCTGAATCAGGGACCAGCCCGCTTGGGCTCGTGTTGGGGCTAGCAGCAAGCACACGCCCTCCCACGCATCAAAAGATCGGAGTCGCCACAACGGTCGTGCATTGGTCGCAGGGCTTAACGCTATCCATTTTCGGGTCGGGGCTCGGCGCCATCCATTTACGAGGCTAAGCGTTTCGGCAAGTGAGTCGTTACATACCTTGTAGTGGATTTCGACTTTCGTGGCCAACGTCCACTATCTGTAGTAAGCGGCGCCTGTAATGATGTTTGGTCAGCGCACCACTCTGCATCGATCAGGATGAGGGACAACGAAAGAGACAAGGCGCGTACAGGCCAGAAAACGAAGAAAGGAATCTCGACGCATTTCATGCCAGGATGCATTCGGAATGGAGGTAGAAGAGAATGAGAATCGCGGGGCAAGAGTTTCTTATCTCACTCGATTCTTATCAGAATCGAGTGATCTAAAGGGCCATACAGAGGTTTTCGATCATGGCGAACGCAATAAAGTTGTTAGTCTCAGCTATAAGTTAGTGGTTTAGTCACGGTAGGTGTTAGAGGGTGCGTGAATACAGCGGATATGGTGAAACTGGCTATAAAAGGAAAGAAAAAGGGAATGGGTAGGTCTTGCTCACTTTTAAGCAGATTCGAAGGAGGACAAAGCCTACGTAGGTGTTTTAGTACCAGGCGAATCCGTTTTTGAGGTCAGTTGTGGCAAAAGGTCAATCGCATAGGAGTTAATAAAGAAAAGGGTTACGCGTTAGTGTCGGAAGTATAGAGATGACGGGCAGAGGAACGAGGAGAAAGAACTGACAACTACGAGGGAGGAAAAGAAGCAGGAGGCGGCGAGTGACAGGTGGAGGATAGCTGGCGGAGCGGACGAAACTTGCCAAAGAGAGAGAGAGAGAGGGGAGAGAGAGAGAGAGAGAGAGAGAGAGAGAGAGAGAGAGAGAGAGAGAGAGAGAAAGAGAGAGAGAGAGAGAGAGATACTCACCTGGCTGATGTGGCTGACAACACGCGGTCTGATGCGAAGTTTTACGATATACTTCCCCTCTATCTAGGGGAAGGTTCGATCGTGACGTGCACGACCATAGACGGGAGATGACTTCGAGTGTACCTTCCCGTGTATCTGCGGAAGATTCATCCTTCATTTGTGTATGTGAGGAATAAAGAAACAAAGTAGCTGCCGCCTGCGATTAATATAATTTAATACCATCGGGCCCTTTGCGGTAATTGGTGCCATCATGATCATGGTCGTCACACTCCCTGCGATCAGTGAGGTGTTTTTCGGCCTTGGAGACCATTGGTGTTTACTTGAATCTGACCGTTAGTATGACCATATATAGAGCGGGGGAGAAGCGTGAGGCCGACCGCAGGAGTTGGGGACTTACCTATTGGCAGATAGTGTCAGTTGAAGTAAAACGAAGTAGCAGCTGGAGGATCAACGGAGGATGCAACACTCAGCATGTCGGGCGAGGTTGCAGCAGTCCAATTGGAAGGGCTACTGATTTCTGTGTTAATTGGTATGCCGTCTGTTCCACCAGCCTGCATCCGTGAGGTGTGAGGGTGCAGACTTAGCTATTCGCCGATGCACTATTTGTTCCACTGCACAAAGTAGTCAGAGGCGAGCCTCGGAGCTGCAAGCTCAAGTTTGGAGGAGTGGATGGGATTCTTATAGGAGAGGCTATTGTTGCGATTTGGAGGACCATCAGGGAAGTCAACGGTTGGAAGTTTGACTTTAGTTGACCAGACTGTAGTGCGTTTTTGGCCATCATTGTGGGGCCCTCAGGCGTATAGAGACTTCAAGGCCCTCTCCTGGGAGTTGAGTCGGTCCCTTTCTTGTATTTTGAGCGTCAGAAAACCCTTATTCCTCCTTTCTTAATCTCAGTCTAATCCTATTGAGAAAGGAAGGCGGCAGGCGGGATTGCAACCCGTACGACTTCAACAAGGCTCTGTGAGGAGTCTTCCCACCGATTGCGGGATCTCTGTCGGAACGTAGGAGGAGTTCTGGAGGCAGGGAACAGAGAGGTAAGGGTTTCATCTTCCTTCCATAAACCCAGTTATAACCCCTATTTGTATTCCCTGTTACACTTTGACTGAGTATATGATGTGCATCCCGACTTAGACTTTCGGTTTGACTTTCATGACAAGATTCAGACTTAAGAAAAGGAATGCATGTGTAATTTCAGTTTCGGTTTCGTTGTCTCACTGAAAGCAGATTGTGGAAAGGGGTTGCATCTGGGGGAAGAATGAGAGGAAGGTTGGGCAAGTCTCCATAAGTTTAGGGAGACCCAGTGCTATGTTTTATTTTTGAGTTGCCTGAAGGACCAGACATGTTTCATAATTTTGGGTGGTCTGGTTTTTCTAACTTGCGAGGGTTGCCTGTGGATGATTTTTGGGGGACCAATCAATGTCCTATAAGTTTGGGTGGCTTGGTTGCCTTGTTTATTTTGGGTTTTCTCATTTTTTTTTTGTTTTGGACGAGGGGTTCTTGAATTTTTGGATAAGAAAGGGATTGTTTATGTTGCAATATCCCCTTACTGTAAACACTGTTATGTTGGGAAGACGATTCGTACCTGTGATGTAAGATGGCGTGAGCACCTATATGTTGTTCGAAAGCGTACACAGTCCCACTTCCATCGTTGGATATCCTCTTTTGGCGTAGGCAATTACATGCTACTTCTAGTAGATGTATTCGGTGGTAACGATTTGAGTCGACTGTAGGAGTTGTATATCAGTAGGTGGTCCCCGTTCCTCAATTATGTTGGTATTAAGGCCTCTAAGAAGCTTGGGAATAGGAAACTCGGACGGAATGAAAGGAATCGAGGTAAGAAGAGTTTGTCACAGAACCGTGGTGTTAGACCTTTATGTTTTCATTGTATTGATAAGGATTGTGACTTTCTTGACCTCTATGCATTTCTAGACATTTCCCTTGACTCAGGGAACCTTCCACAACGAATAAGATCGGAGGGAGGTACTGATTGGACACCTAAATGGAAGAATTTGTCTCGCATGTTTGGGGAAAGCAAAGTAAAGCATGACTCTGTATGCCGACCACTGAAGGAA